GCAAATACGCTCACTGTCTATTAATTGACAGGCATTTTTTTCTCATTAAAATTGTTAATCGTAAAATGTCAAGTTAACAAGGTGCCCGAAATACTCGTCATTTGTCTCCGAGCATTTCTAAACGTATATCCTTTAGAATCAGTAGGTAAGGGGCATTACCTATAGGGACATACAGTTGTTACAACACATGCCATATCTAGGCCTATACACCATTTCGCTAAATTTGAAATAAACATTTCCGATAACCTCGCAACCATCACTGGGGACTTCTAGAGGCCTAGCATTTTACTATACGTAGGCTACTTACCATTGTAGAATAATTAAACGAGAAAACTAGATTTCTAATGAGCACCAATATTTTATAACGAAAAAAAAATTAAAAACGAAAAAAAGATATTAAAAACAAGTCTAAGTCCTAAAAGGTTATTTCAATGTTTACATACAGTAATTAGCATGATCGTATGTTGTCTTTTTACTGTTATCGGAAAGGTCTAGAGCCGCGACCCGCTGTGCGATGCTCTATTTGTAGCTAGCCAGCTGCTGAGGCTGGGCCGCCGTGTCGCCCCCCTTCCCCCNNNNTGTGAGACGTTGGTGGTGCTGTTTCAAATTAATTCCAATAAGATGGTCTATATACTGTAGACCTACTACAGTATAGCCAGATTCAATACTGTTTGTGCCTTTTAAGCAGTACAGAAACTATGCCTAGTCAAAGAGAGAGTATTACAAAATTTAGTCCATTAATTTCCACACTGTCTTGACTACCAAATGAGATTTTGCCTAGCGTTTATCCATGCATAAGCACTGCAGATTTCTGGATACATCACTGAATTCTATTTCGCAATGGGAATGTCTGTCAAGCATATTCATTTTACATCAGGTAACTTGATTGCTCAAATATAATTTTTCCTTAAGTGTGGAACAAAAACTAATGCGGCCGGCTTATGGCCTAGCTAGCATACGCCTTGTCACACACAGTGTTTGGTAATCGGATATTTCAAACAAAGCAATCATTTGTTAGGGAAAGCAAAACAGTAAGGTTTAATTTAACAAACTAGCTAGTCAAATAGTATTATAATTGTATTAATTTGGTTAATTACAAATTATAAATTAATTTATGAAGTAATTCTAATATACATTGTATGTAGAGACTATAAACC